AAACAGGGTATATAATTTCCAAACCACTGGGGTAGGAGTTAGCAAACTACTCGATAAAGGGCTAGGTAGCAAATACTTGAGGCTCTGGGGGCAGCCCGTGCCTCTCTGCCGCTGCAGCACGGAAGCAGCCATAGACCTCTCTGTAAGCAAGTACATGTGGCTGAGCTCCGATCAAACTTTGTTCATAAACATGAAATTTGAATTTCGTACAATTTTCATAAATTGTAAAATATTCTTCTTGACTTGCGGGCCATTCAAAGACAGTGAGCTGGGTTTGGTCCATAGTTTGTTGACCTCTGCATCAGAGAACAAAGGAAGGGGGCGGAGAAAATAACTTCAACTAAAGGCAGAAAAGGGGACAAAGGTGGGCAGAAATCATGAAGTCTAACAAACACGAAACATAAACGATGATGTCAGTAAAAGAAACAACAGTTCCCCTAAAAAATGTGAATGGAGTAAACCTTTCCAGTAAAGGCAGATTCTCAGATTGGGTACATCCTAAATGATAATAGGTCATGGTAGAGCTCTACGGAACTGTGCTACTTGAAGTATCATTCCTGTAACAGTGCCAATTAGCAAACCCGACACGACCGCCTTGAGATGAGGGAGCAGGGAAGAGGAGTACTTGGAAACTTTTAGAATGTTGTGACATTGTTATAACCTCCAAGTGTGTGATTGTTGTTCTAGTAATTCATTTTATTGCATTTTACAAAACTGTTAGTCAATAATGGTTTAGAAATTAAAACTGCTTTGAGAAGCACTAGTAGAGAATACAATGCAGGTATCAAAAGATGAAGTAGATCCATATGTATATATGATAAATGAAAAAAGCAAATCACAAATACCAATCATGTATGTAATGATTTTTTTTAAAATGTGGAACAATTCACATCAAACCATTAACCGTGGTTCAACAAAACAGAAGTTATGATTGTTGGACCTGGGGTTGAAGGACATGGAGTATTTTCTTGTTTGCCTCTACATAGTCTTGTATTGACTTTTTTTTTTTTTAACAGCAGTATGTTTTCGTTTATTGTGTAATGTTTTTTAAATATTTTATTATTTAAATTAATGATCTCATGGTCCTTTCAATACTTGGTAATTGAATATCCATATGGCAAACAAGGATCTTTAACCTCTACGTCACACGATATACAAAAATTATTTTTAGGTGGGTTATAAGCCAAATGTAAAAGTTAAAACAGTAAAGCTTCTAGAAGAATACATGGAATAGTATCTTAGAAACTTTGGAGTAGGCAAAATTTTTTTTTTTTTTTTAAAGATTTTATTTGTCGGAGAGAGAGAACACGAGCACAAGCAGGGGGAGCTGCAGGCAGAGGGAGAAGCAGGCTCCCCTCTGAGCAAGGAGCCCGATGCAGGACTCAATCCCAGGACCCCGGGATCATGACCTGAGCTGAAGGCAGACGCTTAACAGACTGAACCACCCAGGTGTACCGAGGCAAAAATTTCTTAAGCAAGACATGAAAAGCACCAGCCACAAGGACAAGACTTGTAAATTAAGCCTAATTAGTATTAGATGTTAGGTTCATAACAAGACAGTATTAAGGGAGAGAAAATGCAAGCTACAGACTGAGAGACGATATTCGGCATATTATGTCTTTGAAACTTAGAATTATATATATTTTCTGTATCTGTGTGTGCAGAAAGTTTGGAGAGGCGCTTCACAAAAAAGACATCATTGGCTGTTTTGCATATGAAAAGGCTCTCAGTCAACATCATTAATCATAAGAGAAAGGCAAACTGACACTATTATACGTGGATTAGAAAGGCTAAAATTGGGGTGCCTGGGTGGCTCCCACCGGTTAAGCATCTACCTGAGGCCCAGGTCATGATCCCGGGGTCCCAGGATTGAGCCCCGCATTGGGCTCCCTGCTCAGCGGGGAGCCTGCTTCTCCCTCTCCCTCTGCCTGCCGCTCCCCCTGCTTGTGCTCTCTGTCAAATGAATAAATAAAATCTTTAAAGAAAATGGCTAAAATTAAAAGGACCCATAAGACCTAGTGTTGGCAAGGCATAGATAGATCAGTTTAGAAACTCATCCGTTGCCTTTGGGGGTGTCAGTTGGTATAATCACTTCAAAAAAAAACAAAAACAAAAACTGTGTACTAAGGCTGGGCATATATAAATCCTGTGCTGTAGCCGCTTCACTCCCGAGTATTCACTTAAGAGAACTGCGTGCTTATGTTCAACAAAAGATAGAAGAATACCCATATTAACTTTATTCCTAATAGCTAAGAAATCTCTCAATCAAGAGTATAAATAAGTTGTATATTCATCTAATTGACTGTTGTACAGCAAAAAGAAAATACTGCTACCTATAACTACATGGATGAATCTCATGGACCCAAAATTGAGCAAAAGGAGCCAAAGACGAAAGAATACCTTCTGTGTGATTTCATTTATATATTTTATGGTGAAAGAAGTTAAAATAATGGTTTCCTTTGAGGGGAGGGGGCAGCAGAGGCGGTAACTGACTGGCGGGGGGGCAAATGGGAATATTCTGGGATGCTGGAAATGTTCAACACCTTAATCTGGATGGTGGCCACATATCATCAAGCTCTACACCTACACATTTAATATCTGCATATTTTACTGTAAGCTATATTTCAATAAAAATGTTTAAAAAAAGGGGCACCTGAGTGGCTCAGTCAGTTAAGTGTCCGAGTCTTGATTTTGGCTCAGGTCATGATCTTAAGGTCGTGGAACTGCGCCCCATGCTAGGCTTCACAGTCATCGGGGAGTCTGCTTGGGATTCTCTTTCCTTCTCTGTCTCAAATAAATAAGCCTTTAAAAAAATGTTTAAAAAAGAAAACCCCAACTCATGTTTTACCTTCTGATATGAAATTGTGTCATTATCATATGCCACATTTTTAACGTATTCAAGGGCTTTTTTTCTAGGTCTTACATTCTTTTCCATTTGTCTATTTTTGTAGATGCATTGTTCTGGTTTAATCATTGTTGCTTTATAATACATTTAATGTTAAATGGTGTCTTTCCTACTTATTCTTCTATTTCAAAATTATCTTGTATATTTTCACTTCTTATTACAGATAATTTTTAGAATCAGATAGCCAAATTCTCACACACCATCATGCCATTGGAATTTTGATTGTAATTACATGAAACTAATAAATTGTAAATTTGGAGATCATTGGTATGTGGGTCAAAGTTCAGAAACATTGTGTTTTTCATCATTTCCTCCCAATTCTGTAGTTGTCTTCATGTGGCTCCTACAGGTTATTTTTACTTTTGTACATTTTTGTTTTGCTATTGTGAATGGGAACTTTTTTCGTTACATTTTTATGTTCCTTGAAGTATTATTATAACTTCTTAATCTCAGTAACCATAATAGTTATTATTTATTGACACTTTGTGCTAAGCAGTCTTATTTCTTACAACAATCCCTATCAGGTAAATACTATCACAGCATTATGCTCATTTTTACATTTGGGGTCAGTGAGGGACTAAGACTGAACAGCTGTTTTGTGGCAGAGGTATGATTCTAACCCAGGCAGTCTCACTCCAGAGCTACCCTGCCTACAAACACTACACCGTGGGCCTAGGTGTCCTCAGGTGAAGGAGAAGAGACATGTAGGAAGGCCAAGTGTGGGATCAAGTCTAGCACTGATGGATATGACTGACAGTACAGTGGATGAGTAGTACTTAGGTATATAGGAGCAAGACCTATACTGAAGTGGATTTTTTGTTGAGTGTATGTTCGTTTATACTTGTAGACTACAGTATTCTAGTTTGGACTTACTCAAACCAAATAGTCTTAAAATTTTTTAAGTCATTAACAAATGATTTAATGATAATTTTATATATTCCCAGGGTGCCATTGTATTTACCAAATGATAGCTATTGTTTTAGCTGTGTTCATTGTTTGCAAGGAGCTATCACTTATTCCCTCTAGTTGAAATAGTGGAAGTATATTGTAAAGACACACGTGGCCGTAAGGGAGATGGACTCCTGTGGCTATCCAAGAGGTGGATCCATATACTGGCCAGCATTTGTGGAGACTAAAAATGTCTTCTGTTCCAGATTAAAATCAGCTAGAGGCATCTCAGCAGCAAGATTTTAAATCTTTACTACAATGTGTCATTTTTTATCTTCCCTGAACTGCTGCTGTTATATTATCTGCTGTTTTGTCCATCTATTTACCTTTATATTGCTGGCGTATTTTCTCCATAGTCCCAGGTAAAATTTCTGACAGAACATTTGATTGGCCATGGTAGTTACTGTGTTTGGGCCAAGTGTTTCATGCTTTATAGACTACTGAACAGACTATAGATTGGCTGAATCTACTTTACCACGGTAGTTCTAGTAATTTTTGGCCATGGAGGGATGCCTGGTTAGGTAAAACATGGCTCATCTAAAGCTACCTCCTTCAGTAGCACGGTTGATTTGCCCTAAATATAAAGGAAATGTGATCACAGTATATATTCTGGTTAATGTGTTTAGTACCCATTACACCTTTTCCCTTTTAAATAAAATCTAAAGTGGCTAGGTTTGAAAATAGTAGTTGAATTTAGAGATTGAGTAGTACAGAGGGGGGAAATACTGAAGGGAATGCTTGTTGTACATGACTTGAAAACAATCCCTTGCTTACTGTTCTGTAAGCTGATAACATGTTGTATATCTGTTGTAGATAGCTTGTTTAAAATGTCTGGTTAGGATTATTAAAACTTTGGAGGAGTTACTGATAAATATTAGGGAAGTTTTTTCCCTTGCTGTTTTAATAGCTAGGTTTGACTTGTGAAAAGAGGTTCTGAGAATTTTGCAAACCCATGAACTTAGTAAACTCCTTTAAGAATATTCTCCAGTATATGTGTTACTTAACCTAAGATCAGTGCTGAATTCAAGGTATAACATGAGATGCTTATTAGGATAGTAAATAATTCATGATAAAAAATTGAAATATTCAATAATATGTGGATATTAGCAATACAATTGTATGTAAGTGCTTGTTAAATTGATTCTAGGTTGGGCCATGCAGGCTGCTGCCTATATCTTCATTCATAGGAAATGGAAGGATGACCAGAGCCATTTTGAAGACATTATTGATTATTTTTGTGATATCCGTGAACCACTTCAACTCCTCATATTCCCAGAAGGAACCGATCTCACAGGTAGGTAGCCTGGGATTGAATCACAAAATTTTAAAACCTGAAGGAATTTAGAAATCACTTAGCCTAAACTTCTATTCTTAAGATGAAATAACTGAACACCGGTAAGATTAATGGCCCACCACTAAGGTCATTCACCTAGTAAATCCGTAGCACATCAGAACCTAGAATTCCTCGTTTCCAGACCATAGAATTTATGATGGGCAACCCCAAGAAGTCATTATTATTCATACTTGCCATCCTAGAGCTTTATATTTTAAGTTGCATTATGTATTTTAAATATCAGCCTTTTATTTTTATATAATTTTTAAATAATTTTTATGGAACCACAAAATAAAAACCCCCAAATAGCCAGTGAAATCTTAATAACAAAACCTAATTTTAAAATCCCCTTCCTGTTCTGTATATTCTCTGTCCTCTTTCAAGATACATATTTATCCATTAGGCCCTTTTTTCTCAACTTTTTTTATAAGAAAAGGATATGATAGTAACCAGTTTCATTTATTGTTGTTTTAAGTTAATATGTTGCCTTTTTCTGGGTATTTTAAAGCCTTATCCCTAATTAAACAGGAAAAGCTTTGTCCTGTCCTCAAGAAAATTCAGCCACCACTGAGTTGTGGAGGGGACACAGGAGGACATATTTAGAACTTTTCTGTCTTCCCAGATACTAAACTACATACGTAAGCCAAGAATGCCAGTGGATCTCAAGGAATTCTTTAAAAGATTAAAAACAAAATACAGTCTTTTTTCCTTACTAAATCAGTGGTTCTCACACTTTTTTAAAGCACAGGTCATTTTTGCAGATGAAGCTGCCTATTGCAGTCTGGGATTTAAGACAGATTGAAGAAGTGTTGTGGTTGAATATTGGCAGGGAGGGATAAGCTTGGACAGGAAACAGTTTTGTGGAATCCAACTCAAAAGAGCAAAATTTTAAAACTGCTAATTCCCTGGTTACTTCAAGAAAGATACAGCAGAATTTGAGAAGGATCCGGTAGATAAAGGTCTGCTGTACAAGAGAAGACAGACTGAAGCAGGGTAGAACTGAAGTCTAAAAATCACATAGTATGGAGGGCTAGAACATGAACTTATCTTCCAAATCCTCAGTACTAGTTGGAGGCAACTGAGAGCTACTGAGAAGGACAACCCTCAGAGCTTCAGAGGGGAGAACATACTAGTTCACTATGTGGACATAAGAAATCATGGAACCCAGTACCTACAAAGAGTTCAAGATGAAAAATACGAACACAATTATTTAAGTGAATGGGTAGCTAAGCCATACTGTGCTGAGGGAAATTCAGGTATTTTGGGAAACATTTACCATTGATACCAAGGAAGAGCTCTTGGACTTACCCATTACAGATGGAACTGAACTAAATGAACCATGACAAGTTTTATTGAATAGTATTATGTACTAAAATATATGCTTACTATTTAGGTTTGATTTTTATAGTGAAGATTCTAAAAGTAGTTGGATCACAGAGGATAATACTGAGGATAATATTGGCTGCATATTGTTTAAGCTTAAAAATATAGACTGTAAATTGATTCCCAGAGCTACACTATCATTAGGAAGTTCTGATGGACAGACAGCCGTATTTAAATCTTATATTACTTAAGAACGTATAATACTTAAATTTGGGTGTTGAAATACTAGCTGTATTATAGAAAGTAATTTACTGAGATGATAAATTGATATTTGTGAATGCCAAAGCAGACACTAAAGAATGGCAACTTTGGAAGTTATTTAGTAATTAAAAGCTAATGGAAAAAAAGCTCTGGGATTGCTGCTACTTTATGGTATCTTAGTGTTAAAATGTTTATACATTAGATCTTCAGAGCCTATGAAATATATATTTAAAACTTTTTTCAGTCTGTATTTTTTTTCTCAAGTGTCTTTTTTATGTGATGAACTTAACATCTAGTGGCATATTTTCAGGGTCCAGAGTACTCACCATTACATGATGTAGTTGCATATTTTTTAAGTTAAAATGGTATTTACATTTTAAAGCCAACTTTCAAAAGCTAGAGTGTTTGCCAAATAGAGAAAAGAGATCCTGAAGCTTTCAAAAGGTTTTTGTTTTTTTAAACAGGATTATACAGGTAGTTTTGATCTGGGATAAATGATCATCTTTGAAAAAGTGTTAATTCAAGGATGTTTTTAGTTACCACAGTTAACTTGAAACTTGGGATTTTTAAGCCCAAGGGGAATGTTCTATAACCCTCTTTAAGTTCTGAGTCCAACCTGCTTACCCATTTTCAAATTAGTGTGTTTAAATATAACTATTTTTTTATTTTTAAACATTTTATTTTTTGACAGAGAGACAGTGAGAGAGGGAACACAAGCAGGGGGAGTGGGAGAGGGAGAAGCAGGCTTCCTGCTGAGCAGGGAGCCCCATGTGGGTCTTGATCCCAAGACCCTGGGATTATGACCTGAGCCGAAGGCAGACCTTAACGACCAAACCACCCAGGTGCCCCTAAATATAACTTTACATATATTTTCTCTTTATATGCTATTGTTGGTTATAATTTTTTTTTTTTTTTGCCTATGGAAATCATATATGTGAACTTGGGAAATTTAGAAACATAGAGCACAAAAGTTGCTATAATCCCACTGCCCATAAACACTAGTGTAATTTTGGTCCATTGCTTTTGGATCATTTGGTCACAGATGCACACGTGCACACACACAAAAACATATGTGCATAAACACACACAGTTTTAAACAATTGTAAAAATGGAGTTACACATTTCTTCGCACTTAATGTTATATTATCTCTCTTATCATTATTTATTCTTTGAAAACATGTGTTTCAAAGGTTGGGCAGTTTTATATTATATTGGTTTATTAAGTAGGGTTGTCCAGAAAAACAGAGCCACTGAGATGTGTGCGCAGGTATGTGTATGTGTGTGTGGAGATTGAGCTTGAGAGAAAATGAGATGGGAGTTGGGGGTTTATTTTAAGGAGTTGGCTCACATGATTGTGGAGGCTTGGCAAGTCAAAAATCTGCAGGGTAAGTTAGCAGGCTGGAGACCCAGGGAAGAGTTGCAGTTCAAGTCCAGAGGCAGTCTGCTGACAGAATTCTTTCTTGCTTGAGGAGGTTAGTCTTTTTTTTATTAAAGCCTTCAAGTGATCGGATATGGCTCACTCACACTATGGAGAGTAATCTGTTTATATAAAGTCTTCTGATTTAAATAATCTCATTGAAAAATACCTTCACAAAACATCTAGAATAATGTTTGACCAACTCTCTGGGTACTCTGGCTAGGCCAGTTTGATACATAATCGTAACAATTGGTATACTGTAATTTTGAGTTCTGTTTCCATGATTTGGAAAAGAAAGCTTTTCTAGTTTTTAACAATTATAATATTACATGTAATTAAACACTCTTATACATAAAACTTCATTTAATAAATGAGTGCCCTGAAGCTTTATATACAATACAAAGCCCCTACTTTCATGAAGCTTACATTCTATGAGGAAAGACAGAATAAAAAAAACCAGTCGGTTAACAAAATACGTCAAATATTCATAAATGCTGTGCAGAGAAATAAAGCAAGATAAGGACAGGGGGAGGAGTGGATAGGGCACAGAGTACTCTTTTATATAAGGTGGTTAAAAGAAGTCCCTTAATTTCTGTGTAAGTAGAGACTAACTGAACAAAGCAGAAAACGTTGCAGGTGTCTGGGTACAAGGCATTCTGGGTAGGGGAAAGAACATCTGCACAGACCCTGAAGTGAAAACATGCCTAGCTGGTTTGAGAACACAGAATAGCCCGTACTCTCTTCAGAGTGGAAGGAGTGTTGGCATTGGAGTGTTACCAGCAGTGAGCTGACAAGACAGGAGGCTGTGGTCAGAAAGAGGGAGGCTAGTGCAGTTACTAATAATCAGAGTCCGGGGGTGGGTAGATGAAGTGGGGATAGAAGGAAGAATCTGTATTTCTTTGTGTCTCTGATTATTATCTCTACCTCCCCACATTGTGACTATGTTTTTAGAACTACTTGTATTCCCATTCTATAGCAGAGTTCAACTTTGTCATTAGATCCCCAAAGTCTGTGATAAACTGGAAGAGGAAACTGAAGAGTAGTTAACAACTTATCTTTGTAGTGTCCCTAGGATTCCTCATTCCATGGAAGGGCCTTCTAGCTGTCTAACAAACACTGTTTTGGAGTCCCATGCCCAGGATATTCTCCTCAAATGAACATGAGAGGAGCTTATTCCTTTTCATGTTTATAGCCTATACTTTTGTCTTGCTGGGGACTGTGAATATTTAGCTCTTTAATTCGGTTCCTCGATTAAAAAATAGTGTGACACTTTTTAGAGGCATATTCTTTGAATATTTTAGTGTTGTGGAATCCATATACGGTTTTTTGAGGTTTGAGGACTCCGTGATCTTAAATTTATTCCTAAGAAGATGGGTTTATATAAAGTTTTTTTTCTTGTGACTTGGAATAGTCTGTAAATTTCAGGATGCAGCTGAGAGTTGCAGATTCTAACATCTGCTGTCATCAGAAGGTATTTCATGATCTCTCCCAGCAGTTGAGGCCAAAATTCTGAACACTACTTTTTCCAAATATATTTGCTGAATAATCGGTTTGGTTCTTCTTGGAACTTATAAAGTTACCTCATGGAATGGAAAAAGAAGTTTTTGCCAATAATTGGAACATATACTTGACTCTGTAACTATATTCAGCCAAACCATGTTCAGATGTTTGAACATGATGTGCTAATCATATGCCCATTCTGTTGGGGAGTGGTTTTGGTTAGTAATATTAGCATGCTCTGTGCTTGAGCAAGGCAGACATTTCACTTTGCAATGAAGCCCTAAATTACTAGGTTAAAAAAAAAACGTTGAGTTGATATATTTGATGTATTGGCTACTTGTTTTTTCTGGATGTCTCGGTCCTTATATTTTATTAGTATCTTAGTTATATTAGCATCTTTTGGTATTTCAATTTTTATTATGTAAAGACTATTTTATGAAAATTTTAGCTTATTCGTATTTTATTTGTATTTTCATTTTTGTTGTACATTGACTACTTTATAAAATCCCTTAAATAATTTTAAAGATTTCAATATGAATTTCAGTAAACAGTTATAAAAAGTCCTATTAATACCTTATAGAAATTTCAAAATTCCAAAAACTCTACCATCTTTGTCAGGGACTAAAGTGTTTGTATCCTCCCATTCGACTCATATATGCTATATTCAGTAATTACAGATGAATTAACTGCCATCTTATCAAAAAAATCCTTCACTATTTCCTTATCTCACTTGTATTCCTTTATTTTATTGCTTCTAATAGTCTTTTGTTTTGTTTAGAAAACAGCAAGGCTCGAAGTAATGATTTTGCTGAAAAGAATGGACTTCAGAAATATGAGTATGTCTTACACCCAAGAACTACAGGCTTTACTTTTGTGGTAGAACGTCTAAGAGAAGGTAAGCACCCATCTCAAAAGGCTATTTTTTTATGTAAGTGGCAACAATTGTTAAACTTTGTATGTAGCCCTTCAGAATTTACAAAGCACTTTTCATGTTTTTTCTGAAGATAAAAGATACTGTGTTTTTATACTAAGTTGACCCCATGCGCTAACATGTCTTACTATGTATTCTTTAGAAATATCAGAGATAAAAAAAAAATCAGAGATAACTTTATTAAATTTTTTTGTCCTCTCAGAATAGACAGACAATAATACAGACTATTCTATTATCATTCTATTTTTAAATTTTTCTCAAAGCACCAACACTGTCTTGAAAGTATCTTAACACTTACACTATTGTTCTTTATAGCTTAAAAAGTATTTTTGCATTTATTATTCCACTCACTCCAACAGATGATTCTGGTTAGTAGGAAGGCAAATACTACCTCCATTTTGTAGTTAAGTAGAACTGGCATCCAGGAGGTTAGTAAATTTCTGTAGGTGAGGGATAGAATGGCATTCTTCTGCTTCTTAGTTTGTAGCTCATACTACTACCTCACGCTTCCTCAAGAGCCGTGTCTAGTGATGGGCATATCAGGACAAGGTGATTCCATTGATGGTATCACATCCATTTAAATGTGTACATTTTCATATTTTTATGTAAAAAAACAATTATACATCTTATTTGTATGTTTATATATTGATACATATATGTGTTGAGACAAATAACACATATGAATATATATGGAAAAGGAACTATACAGAAACATGCTGAAGTGTTACTAATTTTACAAGAATGATTTAAAGCCGAGTCACCTAGTGCAGGAAAAATCTTGTTTGCATGTTTCTGCTCTCCACTCTGATTTCTACCAAGCCATATTGTATGATGATGACATCTATGACAAATTATCACCCTCATCTGATAATTTCTACATTGTCATAAAACTGCTTGTGGTTAACATGAAAGATGTTGAACCCCATTATGTAAGAAAAGGTATAAAGTTCTTGCATCTTTCCCTAAATAGCATCACTGTTGTTCCTTTAGGGTTTAATGTACTTTAAAGTACAAAGTATAACCTCAGTTAATGAACTCTGCCAGGATGAAGCACCTTTACAACTAAGTACCCATGACTTAAAAAAAATGTATAGTCAATCCAAAATTACGTTGGTAAACTAAAAATGTTTTCCCTATTAGTTTGGCTTGCTCTTGAAATTCTGTGGTCATAATTGATATGAAATGGACTTGTGGGCTTGATGGTCTTATTGCACATGAATAGTAAGTATCCATCTACCCAATGAAGTCCCTGCAGAACACAATTCTTCATGACTGTGGAATGGGTCAGAGAGGCACTGAGACATTCAAGTGGTGATTTTTTTTTTTTTTTTGGAATGTGGTACCGCTTAACTGTGGCATCCAGCTTATGCTCACCCTTCTCATTCAACAATACGTTTTCTATTTCCTCACTAATCTGACAGCTTATAGTATTTAATGATTTCTCTAAAGGTATTTCTGACGTCATGGAACACATTCATCTACTAGATTTCTCTGTAAACACAAGCATGCTGTTGGAACACATCTTTTACTAATAAAGTCTTCCTAAATGTAGGCAGGATAATAGATTATCTTATAGTGGATAAGGATGTATCTGTAGAGCTCTCTGTTCTGAAATCTGGAAGATATTTTAGTGAGCTGATTTATAACTTTGGGGAATGTGTGTTACTTAGTCATCACTCAAAGCACTAGTCAACAACCACAGTGTGTAATTTTTCCTGCTAGAACTGGCAGCTGATTTCCCCCCCCATATCAGTAAAAAAAAAAAAAAAGAGAACCAGTTAGATGTTTCTGTTTACTTCAGTTATAAAAGTAGGATATATTATACACTATAATAATAAATATTATGATTATAATAGTAATAGCAGCTAACATTTATTGAGCATTTACTAAGTACCAGGCATTGTGCTAAGTATCTTGTATGCATAAGGTCAGTTAATCTTGACAATAACCATACATGGTAGTTACTGTTACTAATAACTTGTAGGGCAAAACTGAAGCAGAAACAGGTGAAAAAGCTTGTCAGAGTTACTGGAATCTGGTTCCTCTGACTGAATATCCAGTGCTCTTTCTACTATAACTTGGTGCCTCTTGTATTTGTAGTATGGTTTTAGTTAACAGAGTCTCCAAATCATAAAGCACTTTGGTAACAATAGTGAACTGGATGGTTTTCCTCAAAAAAGAGTTTTAAAAAGAAAAAAAAAAGTGAAATGGCCAGATCATGGAGGGATGGTGGTCCCAAAGGAGGAGATTATTGTTCTGCCTAAGATAAGGGTAGCAGGCACACCTAAGGAGGCATCAGGTGGAGAGTCAAAGTCAGCTCCACTCTCAGGGAGCAGGGGGTGGTGTCAAGTGAACACAAACAGTTACATCAAGGATCAGAGGTGAAGAGGACCTTAGAAACCATCTAGTCCAGAGTACCCTTCCTAGAAAAGAAACTGAAACCTTAGAAAGGACCAAACCCAACTTTCTGATCTTTAGGTCCCTGAGATCTGCTTTTGATAATCAGTTATGGGAAAAAGAAGCTCTCTGTTAAATGACCATTATAAATAAATTATTCCAGTGGAATCCTAGAGACCATGTATTAAAATGAATTATCATAAAGTATCATCTTTGCTGCTCACGAATATAACTAAATTCAGTGTTGCTGACATCTGTTTGGCAATCAGCACTAATAGGCGCATGAGAAGTTTAGGACATCAAGAAGCTAAGGATGAAGTCTTACCAAGAAGAACTGAATAAATGAAAATGCAAAACGAGGAAAGTAGCTTCTGCGCCTTTGTTCAGAGTATATTTCACTGAGATTAAGAACATTTAGAAAACACACACTTATCCTGAAACATAGCACGCATTATATAACGTTATACAGATGTGTCATTTCTATAGTAGTAACTGCAAGAAATTTACCGAGTACCTTAAATTTCACCATTAATGTGCTTGCTTTATACTTTTATTAGATCACAACCTTCTTGAAGGTATGAAATGTTCTGCACATAGTGACTCAATCAGTATTAGTTGAGTTAAATATTTTTCTTTTATCTGAAAAATAAGACAAGTGTAGTGTCCTAGCATGTTCTCCTCAGTATATATTAACACTGATAGATCTCAGTCATGGATGATTTCAGGTGTACCTCTAATCACAACCTTTCAGTATGATTATGTAAGTTTTTTCAGTACTAGATTAATCCACACCCAAAAGGAATTTTCTTTTTTTTTTTTTTTTTAAGATTTTATTTATTTGAGAGACAGAGTGAGAGAGGGAACACAAACCAGGGGGAGAGGCCAAGGGAGAAGCCGACTCCCTGCTGAGCTGGGAGCCCGATACAGGGCTCGATTCCAGGACCCTGACATCATGACCTGAGCAGATGCTTAACCGACTAAGCCACCCAGGTGCCCCCCAAGAGGGAATTTTCTAACTTAGAGGAAGAAAGGCTTTTATATGAGAGTATTTTTTTTTTAATTGACGGCTATAATAAATTTGTCAAAATTTTAAACTTGTAATCCATTCTCACCAAAAATTAGTTATATCATCATCACCACTGGTGCTTCATCATTTTTAACGATAGCTTTACTCTTCCTTGATTTTAAATAAATAAAGATTTGGTCCCACCATTATTTGATTTCGTTAAATGTTTTGTAAGCAATTACTGAGCTACAGCCATGCAATAATTACTTTCACCATTAGGCGGCACAAATGTGTACATTTCGAACAATCTGAAGTTAGGTTGAAGTAGTTGGGGGTGAGAATAAAACACTTCATATTTGTTGTTTAAAATGTGACCTTGCCTACAAGAAGTTTATAGTCTTCATGGGTAGATAAGAATACACATGGAAAAAGTAAAAAAAAAAAATTATACAATATAATTACATGCTAAATTTTATAGTATATCATATATAAATGTTTTGCTGAATAATTATAGGAGTGTTCAGTAAAGAGAGATCATACGGTGTTGAAGCACTTCACTTCTTTAAGAAGCTGCATCTCCCTTGGACCCTGAAGACTGTGTGTGATTTGGACAGGCAGAAACAAGGCTGGCTGCGGGCAGGATAGGAACAGTACAAGAGGGCATGAGCTTTGGGCCGGTAGGAGGCTGAGCAGTAAACAGGCCCAATGAATGTGATCGAACTGAAGACTTGTACTGTAGATTAACAGACAATAGTTCAGAAGGCTGTTTGGAGCCATTGCTGAAAAACTTAACTCCTGCCCACAAAAAATCATGTTTTTAGTCATATATTTCCAGCTGAAGTCATTTCAGGCAAATCACCTCATATGTTAAGGCTCTGAAACATCATATAGATATATTTAAGTTTTGGTTTTTTAATTCCAAGTAAAATAATCCATAATTTTTATTTTTTTAAAGATTTTATTAGAGAGCGCATATGAGCAGGTGGGGAGGGGCAGAGGGAGAGAGAGAAGCAGACTCCCTGCTGAGCAGCATCCTGAGATCATGACCTGAGCGAAAGGCAGACGCTTAACCGACTCAGCCACCCAGGCGCCCCTAAAATAATCCGTATTTTAATCTATGTTTAGCTCATATGCCTAAAGTCTAAATATGAAAGATGCCTTCTTTCTACTAATCTAGGATACAGGGTTAGTCACTAAGGGAAAAAAACTCCCACTAGGTAATTTGGATCAGCACATCTGATCAAACTCTTCAGTCTGTATTCAGGGAGAGAGAATTGCTTACTGAACCCCCAGATTACCTATATAGTATCTGGCAGTCCTATGTTTGGCTCCCTCATTTTGGTCTACAGTTCTCATTTGCTCCAAGAAAGTTGGCAGTTGCCTAGAAAGTAAAAGCAGTATGCCAATCATAGATAGCTCAGTCTTCAGTGTCTTCAGACTGTTTTAATTTCTTGGACTTTCTGCTTAGTGCACGACTAAGCATGACTTGCCTGTAACAAATGTTATAGTGAGGGACCAAAGATGGCCAGTAGGAGCCATCACTCTCTGTGGCTCACATTGC